GTGTGGCCCATGACCTGAATCGGGCCTATCGGTTCGATAGCGGGAAATCTTGTAGAGTGCAGGACTCTACAAGAGCAGCTCAATGGTCAAAAATTCGATAGCTCGTAACTCATCTTCGGTAGAAGATTTTTCAAATCTAATTGTTCGACACCCCACTCTTGACCATAGGCTTTCGAACGATGCATGGCATGCCAAGATATCTCTTTGCATAAAGTCACGACGCGGCTTCCAAACATGCATTGGCGTATATGTAATAGCGTCACGTATTGTCACATTGCACAAGCACCGCTTTTCACGCTGCAAAGGGCTGTGCTCCATGGGAGTAAGCCGGTGGCGCGACAGTTGAATGGGAACATTCTTCAAATTTCTCTCTTCTTGCAAAATCTTGAGAAGGTTGCGCGCACAAGACCACGATTTTGCTGACTTAACATTTTTCGACTCAAGCTCAGATGTTGAGTTGAAAAGCAGCGTGAACATGCCATGCAAACCCGATATTACCATCCTATATATTCTTTATTTTTTTATTTATTGATGTAAAACAGATATTTTGAATAATAATAAAGTATATTTATTTTTGTTTCAATTTTAACTCGTTGATATCCTATTTGCATAATCATTCGAAATTTCATGAACAGCATTTGAGAAAATGAGAAAATATTGCCCCTTGAGGTATTTTTATGAACAGAGCTGGAATTTCGTAGTCGTGTTGCAATTAGCTTTAATGGAGAATGAAACATGCGCGATATCATCTAGTCAGCTTCCTAAAAAAGTTTTATTAGTTGCATTTCTTTCTTTTTATTAGTTGAAATATTTTCAAAACGACATTTACGAGGAGGATTACGAATGCCCCTTGGGGCTTCTTTTAATGGAGGGGTGCTGCAATTTTGTAGCCGTATAGCACTTTGCTTAAACGGAGGTTGAAAAATGATGAATATCATCCAGTCAGCTTACTAAATATTTATTCCTTGAATATACTCGGATGCTTAGGTCGAGATTCCGATGCGGTTACTGCGGCATTACGTTTGCCGTGGTGGCAGTTGTGGTTGCTGTCACGCTGCTCCTTTGGACGTCACGAGAAGGACACATCCTTCATCGGGATGACCAAGAATGGGAGGAAGACGAAAGGAAACTGCGACTGAAGAAGCACGTTCAGGAGACGAAGCTTTCTTCAGCCGATCTCGAAATCGACGAGAGTCGAGGCCACTGCAATCACAGCATCGTCTCGGTCGGTACCTTCAGTTTCTTCGTGGGATATTTCGCCGGAGGCCTCGTGATCGCACCGAAGATGATTTCGAGGAGTTCTCCGCACATCGACTACGTGGTCGCCGAGGCGAAACTGGAAAATTGGATTTTCATCAGTAATTAAATGGGAACTCCGAAGCCTATTCGTTGAAGCGCTGTTTACTTCATGTGTGGGATTCCCATAGGTGTTATGGAGAAGTGGCAGATATTGCCATCTGTCGGTCTTTTTCGTTTCGTTCTTTCTGAACGCTGTATCCATAGCAAGCGGACGACTCGAATCATCGGGTATGTGCAAGCTCCTGTCTCGGTCGGGGTGCCTGTCCAAAACTAAAACGTCCACTTCCCTTCCTGGCCCCCGTGCACGACGATTCCATAGTAGAAAATGTGAAAGCAGGCTTGCTCGTGGCCGTGTCGACGGTGTTACCCGGCGTATGCGTGTGATGACGCATCTGGCTTCCTTCACTGGATAAATGATGTAATGATGAATGGTTAAACATTTACCTCTCGAGCGAAAGCTGTTCTTTCACGAGGTTCTGCTGAGATCATGTACATTCTCTTGTTAACTAGATGAAGTGGAATTTACATTGTTCTGGTAGTAAATTTTAGACTCGAACAAATAAATTCTGTGCTAAACCCAGTCTTTTGGATTCCTTGCCCAACGACTATTGATTCCGTCCCGATCGATACGAACCTTCCCATGGGGACAAGTTCCAACAATCTAATTTTTTATTACGTTACGGTTCAGGTAGTTTGCATTGTGGATGGCGAGGTATACCTTGCTCTCTACCTCGAGGCGCTCAGGATGGAACTACTAAATCTGCCTCAGAGGGCACCCATAGAAACCCCTCTATCTCTCCCCCTAGTCGATGACCGGAGTCTACCTCCCGTATGAGAACATCCACTCTGCTTCATCATCGGCAAGGAGGAGGTCTTATGGGAGGGAACAGCTGCTCTCAACAGAAGCATGGCCGACGCACCTCATAGCGGACAGAATTCAGGGTATCGGTAAACGCATGTTCTTCAAATGTGGGACGGCACTCCAAGCGCATCCGTTTGGAAGCGTTAAACGTAGGGTCCAAGAGGATCGTGGACAATTTTCAGCTCGCATCTGGCATCACAAGTTGCCCACGATCGTATCTGCGCCGCTTCCCCTTTGTGGCTCTGCTGACGTGTCGCTCACTGGGGAACGGGTGGATTTTGCGGTCTTCAAATGCACTCATGGCAAACTGGAATTCTGAATCTTCATCACTTCGCATCAACAGATATCACGTTCCGGTTCTTCAAGTGTATCCATCCTCATTGATATTCAAACATTTATCACCAAGCTATGATTTCCTTATTTCCGTTTTCAACCTATTTCATTCTCTTATATCCCATGGTAGACGCATATATATCATCGTCCACTCGGGAGAGGCTGACTCATTTCACAGGGTTTAAGCAATTTCCAAGGAAAGAAGGAAATCCTTCCCAGCCAGCAATTTATCCCCGTGGATAGAGTGTTTTACTCCGCCCAGTCAGATGTTTCGAACTTGGCTCAAGTTCACGAGCCACACATGTACACGTGCGCCAAGGGTGTAATATGCATAGGGCGTAGCTTAAATTTCCGCGTTTTCTATGGCGCCCAGTCTAATACATATGTGGGCCAAGTGTGGCTTATGTATAAATTATGGTGAGATCGAAGCGTTTATGTAATGGTCCAGAGAAGTTTCGACAGCTTCTGTAAGCGTTCTAATCACAATCCTGAAAGCAACACGCGATCTAGCACTCAACAGCGCTATAGCTTCGCCTCAATTTCTCTTCAGCTTCAAGTACCAGTAGGACATACAGTATACTGGACACCATGAAGGAAGATGTTTCATTGCGAGCACATGCCAGTTTCTGGTTTCGAGACTATCCGTGTCGTGAAAAAATTGCTTTCGTGCAGAAATATCAATTTAACATGTTAGAAGAACCTTTTGAAAGTTTCGTTAGTGGATAACAATTTTGAAGAAAAAAAAATGAGATTGAGCTTTGAATCATACGCTGACCCGATCATGAACTAACACCTGCGAGTCACAACCCCATTGATCTCAAGAGGTCTCATCGTGGATACCATGGTCTGTCTCGAAATTCTCCCGTTGCGATTTGGCAGTGGTTCCGACATGCCCCGAAAAAAGATCGCCCTGGTGCTACTTCATGTGGATGAAAATCAGCCAGTCTTGAATAGGGAAGCGGGGAACCTAAGTTGAGAAGTGAATGGCGCAAATTGGAGTGTCACTAAACGTTCTCCGTTTTATTAGACTATTATGGAAACTTTTTGACTGCCCCTCGTAATTCTATTGAAGAATCTCCGTATCGGTGGAGGGGCGGGGACCGACGATGTTTCACAAGAGGAAAATAGTCGTGCGACTAATGCTGCCGAAGCGGACGAGACTTTGCTTACACATGCAGTCTGTCACTAAATCAAATCACTCAGTCAGATGTTCCAAGCTCGGCCCAAGTACGCGAGCCACACATGTACACGGGTGCAATATGCAGAGGGCGTAACCGAAGTATCCGCGTTTTCTAGGACACCAAGTCTAATGCATCTGTGGACCAAGTGTGGTTTATGTTTGGTGAGTCCAGGGCAAGCAGAGCCGTGATTGCGCATCTACATGTGCAAGCATTGTACGAGCGATGTGTATGCATGTTCCACGCCATACATGTCCGCTTTTTGTGCGATAACCTAATCATAGTATCAATTATTATACGTCTCAGAGAAAGTTCCATCCCTTCGTGTTCCAAGGAGTATACAAAAATACAGTTCCATGTTTTCTCATTCCGACCGCAGGACGAAGATCCGGGGAATTGGATCCGCGAACACGGTTTTGTTCTCGACGAGGTTACCATATATAAGTAAAGGTTTACCTTGCCTCGGCAGACGGGACCTGCGCCCAGCTCTCTGCCCAACGACGAAAACATCCAGGGTGATTCTCCGTTCCGACGATGCACGGGTAGGACAGCGTTGAGACGCCGGAAATGGATACGCTGGTCCTTCCACGACCCCATTCGCCCCAGACAGCGCCACAAGTGATTTTGTGCCGTTCCCCACTCCGTGAAGACCCTCAGTGGTCGGAGGCTAGGCACACGCGAGGAAATGGGAAGGAACGTCCAGTAGCGACCGTAGTGACGGTCACGGGACGAGAGACTCTTTCTTATTCAATTTGGACGAGTGACTGAACTGCTGGGAGAAGCGTGTCGCCCTTCTTTGTGTCCGTGTCGACAAGAAACCATTGCCTCCGCCCAATTAAAGAAATATATATTTTTCACTCGCAACGACGGATGAAGGGCATGCGTGTTCAAACAAGGATAATTTGTCATAATGAGATTCATCGCGTTGCGAGGACAATGACAAATCCAATCAGAGATGGAATGGCTCTTCACAACCTGTAAGATGAAGGACATCAAAACTGATAAACATGGTATCAATGGCCAAGTGGCGCAACGGTAGCGCGTCTGACTCCAGATCAGAAGGTTGCGTGTTCGAATCACGTCGGGGTCAATCAGACTTTCTCTGCCTCTCAAGGTCCATGAAAGAAGGTCTCAATCCTGAGAGTATTGTGCTACGTGTTCAATTTCAATGCTTTCTTTAAATATTCCACCCATCTTTCTTGACATCGTCCATGAAATCTTCCCCCGAACAGAAGAAGCTCATGCATCTCCTGCTTGACTTAAAAGGAGTAATTTATAGCAATTCTATCGCACAAGTGCATCAGCTAGAGAGGGGGGGGGGAGTTTCTCTAATCATCCAGAGAAGTCTCGAAAGCCACTGCAATCACAGCATCGTCTCGGTCGGCACCTTCAGTTTCTTCGTGGGATGTTTCGCCGGGGGCCTCGCGGAAGCACCGAAGACGATTTCGAGCAGTCCACAGCACATCGACTACGTGGTCGCAGAGGCACGACTGGAAAATTGGATTTTCATCAGCAATTAAATGGGGACTCCGAAGCCTATTCGTTGAAGCGCTGTTTACTTCATGTCTGGCATTCGTATAGGTATTATGGGGAAATGGCAGACATTACCGTCGGTCAGTCAGCACATGCTCGTCTCAGCCGAAAAAATATCTAGAAAGAATTCAATTCCGACGGATGTATCATTGCCCTTTTGCTGATTTCCCATCGTTAAATGAACCTGACACCAACTCGAGATGGTAAGCCACCCTGTGATGTCAGGGGGATCGGGACTGAAATACGTTATTGATTCTTCTTGAAAAACTTTTGAAATGTAGCAGATGATAGCCCCTCTCCAGAAATCCAAAGAAATCATGACCTTTAAACCGTTTCTTTTTTCCCCCTGAAAATTCTCATATATAATGCGTGTCACCTTCGCTCTCGTACAGGCGATGACCTACCTCTGACAGCACTGATTGCAGCACAGGTCAGAGAGTGGATCTTATATGTTCCGTGGAGTATCCGGGATATCAGTCCCTTATTACCTCATTTAATTGAGATATATGACTAAATGATGTTCACAGGCACTCTCTATTTATTCTAAATCTCCTATGCAGATTAAACCAAACGCATTCCAAAACTATTCTCAATAGGAATATGAGCTTGTTTATGGCCTGGACTTCATGAATATGTCTCGAATATGTGGATAACAAATGATGAAGTGTCCGTATTTATTGATTCCTATAATGAGACTAGGCGAGACATATGGCAAGGTACTAAACAATCCTGCAAGGGACGATTCCAAGGAAAGAGAGAAGGGAACTTTTGTGTACTGTACGAAAAGCAAGACCATTACCGCCATCTAGGGAAGAACTTCAAGGTGTTCACTTCAATACGAGCGATGAGGGAGCATTTGGTGAGTAATAAGAGAGTAAATTCGAAAAGCTCACGGTGTTCTCACCTTTTACTCCCCAAACGCTCGGAATTTTCTAGGAGTGTATGTAATGTGAATAGGCTGGAGATATAGTGCAGGTTAGGAGTTGCAGGTAGGAGGTTGTTGAGTCCTCATTCTGCCTTCAGGATGAGGAAATGGGAAAATTGGACCAATTATGTTCTATCGCTAGTCTTCAAATTTCGGGAAAATGGATCCTGGCTCATGGAATGCGTTATTCTGGTCCAATCAGTTAGGACTCTGTCGCTAGCACAGAGGCACAAATATGGACACCAAATGCAAAACAGGGATTGGCACACAGTTGTGTGCAAGGGAGAAGTAACAAGGTATATCCAAAAGGAAAAAACAAGAAGGGCCAGATATGGTTCCTTGTCTCTTCTGTACTTTATTCATTTATTAAAGAAATAACATTTCATTCCATGGAAATAACTTCATAAATATGTAAGGTAATGTACATATTTATACATACATTTCCTGAATTGAAATTGGGAAAATGCACAAAGACGAATTAAATATGGTCAACATTAATTAATGGTAAATCACATTCAATATCAACTGACTGCATGAAAAGGAATTCAGAGTAAATAGAAACGGGGTTGTCCACCACTCCCGTCCAAATAAGAAAGAAATCTCTCGCTACTAAAAAAATTCATTGGCAATTGTCAATTTGAAAATAAGTTGAGTCCTGCAAGGCAACATTCTCCCCAAACCCCGAACCCTTCACAAAAAGGTGAGTGTTGATGCAGAGATGATGCATTCCTTATGCATTGTACTTCCACAATTTCAGAAAACTTTTCTCCAGTTTCTCTTTCAGGAGAATGGGTGTTTTTAAGGATGAAAATATGCATTGTTCAAGTCTGATTTTTTGCCCAGGGGAAGCAAAAAATTTTTGAAAAAACAAACAATTTTCACGTTAATGAAATGGAAAGTGGGAAACTTTACCTAACGACACATACGGGTTGTTCCAAAAGTTTCCGACCCGCTAAAAGGAAGGAGATGATATTACCGGGAATATTTTGATAAAATTACTATCCACATGTCTATGAATACCGTAGGTACCAATTCCTACAGGAATAATTGATAGGACTTCCTTGAACCTCTAGGAATCTCAGATCAGCGTCGCAAAGCTTTCAACTAACTGAAGCATGATACTCATTGGGTTGGTTTCTCATGTCACTTTAAACCCCGGTAATGATTGACACCCGCGAAGCAAGATGGGGCTTCGTCCTGCATGAGCACTGCTTTTTCTTGGTCTGAGATCGCTCGGGTCTTCTTGCAGCTCATGCATATGAGCAGGAGTGGTTCATATGCATGGTTCACTGTGTGCGAAAGCATTTGAACATATATTGTGTGGGGGGGGGTCAGAAACTTTCGGAGCACCCTGTATTGGGCTCAATTTTGGTGCCGAAACATTCGATATTATAGGGGAACAGTCAAATGTACATGATAATCCATTGCAAACCCTTCTGCCAAGTTAAGGGAAAAATATATCGTCTCAGATTTTTCATGTTGAATTCCATTTTACGAGTCTGAATACTGATTGAATTTATTATTTTCATATACGAAAGAGTTTGGTTTCTTTTGCGTTTTTCATTTCCTTCTTGATGTAATAACAACAATAATCCATCTAATAAGAGGAGAGTAGCAAGAAAAGTCTTTCAAGATCTAACAGACAAGGATTTCCCGTTCATCGTTATTTATATGTAACATTCAAAACCAACTTCTCCCGCACAATGAGAAATTATTTCTCACAATCTTCATCTTGTCCTTTTTTTCCCACATTTATTTCCTTCAAATTTTTTCTTTTTTATACGCGCTGATATATGCTGGTATACCCCACACCAGGAATCTGTATATAGGTCTTAAAGACCTTTCGGACACCCCAATTGGGTATACGAAAGGATGGAATGCTAGAGAAAAAATCATCCATGTCATCCAAATCGGCACTTGTTCGTGCCTTCAAAATGATCCAATAGTCGCTCCCGATCAACTTCAACTTCTCGTTCCACAACTCACTTCCGAAGTAGTGTAATGTCCAATCTGCATCCAAATCTGCATCAAGGAACACGATGTGAGTCATTTTCCCAGAAATTCTTCTTTCCATTTCCTCCACTTCTTCCGTGGTGACTCTTGCGTGCGAATAGACATGTATCGCGACAAGTTCATTGTTGATCAAAGAGGCAAAGAGATCATCTTTGTTCTCCATAACATGACGTCTCGGCATCTTATAAAAGACAAATGACACTCTCACATTGTGTGCACGCATACCATACCATACGTGTCTAACGTATCCTTTAATGCCTGGAGAAGAATTTAAAAAATGCGGCTCCTTCCAATTCGGGGCTGGGGGAATACTTCTCCACCTCATGGGAGGCAGCAGTCCAAAATGTAATACATAATTCAAATCTTTAAGAATTTCCCCTCTTTTTTCCCATCAAACGAATTCCTCCTTTGATGCCTCTTCACGTAACAATATGCATCGTACCAATGCTTATTGTCACGGATAGGCATGAAAATTATAATCACCCATCGGTCTAATGTGTCCACTGTATCGCCAATGTATAGCATTATGTTATACTTCTTAGCGCACTACAGATGATGAAACGTCCCCCATAACTTTCTCCCTCCTCTAAATAAGAGAACCTTCAAGAAATAATGAAAGTCTGTACGGGAGCCCAGTCCCCGAATACATAGAAACTTCAAAAAGTTGATGGTGTTTTGGTGTTTCACCCCACATTCCAAACCAAGTGAAAAATGTTCTCCGGACCAATTTGGAAGACAATTTTTCACCCTGGCCTGGCAGATCGCCTGACCTCACCCCAGCAAACTTCGAGCTTTGTGGTTATATGACCAATGGGGATCCCACTGAACATCTATGAACACTTTTAATTGAAGTCACGAATTGTTTAGTGCATTGCCTTCCCCATGCTAAAATTGAACTGTAAGCCAATGTTCACACCAATGTGATCATCGGTATGCTTGGTGTGGTCGCCCTTAGCAGATTGCGTGACTTTTGAAACACCCTCTATAAATGATGTCATACAAAGGAAGATATTGGAATGACAGGATGAGCACATTCTTTTTCGCGATTCCAGTTCCAGTTATCGTTATCTTATCTATGAGGTACACTTGAACTTGAATTATCTTATTATTTTTCCGTGCCCTTTTCACATGCTTTTCATGCCTCTCTGACAGCCTTCGTCCTGTGGCAATAACAGTTTCACAGCAGAGAAGAGAAGTGCGAGCGAATCCTCTTCCCCAGAACAATAACCTGCATTCCATTTTTCCTTAGTATGTTAACGTATCCGTCCCTTCCTTCTCATTAAGATCAAAATGGGCTCGCATCTCTTTCTATGAATAATTCTTCTTTTTCTACCAGTTCCAGAATTTGCCCTTACTGTCGTGGAAACTTTTTTTTTCAGGTTATCCTCAAGGCACGTGACGAAACCTCTACATTTCCTTCTACACTTGCCGATCGATTAGTTTATGATCTCTTCGTATTCATCCGTGGGCCGTTTGGTGAAATTTTCTTCAGATACCCATTTTACAGCAAACTCTTAGCATTCAATATTCAGATGAAATTTGCGAAACCGCTTAATCTCAACGAAATTTTGCGCGATTTTTCATATTATGACAACGTCTTCTCCGTTTCCAAAGTATAAAAAATAAACTTTTGAATGTTTAGGCTTAAATTTTCACCAATGCTGATGAATAGTATTCAGAAAATCATAACATACATTTAAAAAAAATCAGATTGAAGAAATTTTGAGTTTGCCAGATCCAGCCAGAAAGAAATCCCAAAGCTTGACGAGAGGACTATTATTGCCGATTCAGTTGGATTTTCAGTATTTTCTGAAAGAATAAAAAGCAACTCTTAATCATCGAGACAGAGTAACTGAACAATTTACCTTTGCTTGTTTTAAGGATTTTGAAATTTATATTCCATTTCTGGAAAGTCAGAGAGTTATATTTATGGACCTCACTGCACCAAAGACTACACATCGGTTGAATGAAAATCTCGGAAGAGATTTGAGTCATGCGCACCTTATCCCGTTGCCATTGTGGTGCTTCATCTTTCGCCTGCATTGGGGATGGGAAGGCTTTCATTTCCGAAGGCTCCATCATCAACGTGTCCAATTCCGGTTGAATTTCCTCCTAAAGTCACGAACCTTGAACCTCTTGATTTCGATTTACTTCGAGGAAAGGGTGATCGTTTAGAGGAGGGATGGAATAGAACATGAGACTTTTTCCATGAGCAGTCCATCCATCGTGCGTCTCCCTCTCTCAGCCTCTTTACGCTCTGACTTCTCGAGCTGGTCCTTCGCCTTCTTTTCCTCGTCCAATGCATTCGACAGCTTCTGCTTCAGCTCTTCCACCTCCAATCACGAGAAAGACCTTACCGCACACTTCTTACGGGAAATAACCTACAAGCCGAAAGAGGGCTTGAATTGGAAGGACCGGAATGAGAAACCTCCAGTCTAGCTTTGTTGAGCTCATCCAGGAGGATGTGCTCCTCTTGCTCCTTCTCTTCACGCATGGACTTCTCCTTCTCGATTTGTTTCTCAAGGTTGCCTATTCTGATCATATGCTTTGCTTGCAGTCCCTTTTCCATTGCCAATACCTTTGAAATTTCGTCTATCTGTGCTTCCAGCGCCTTCTTCTCATTCTCCACCTAAATCAAGAAATTGTGAGAGAAATCTTAGAAATCTTCTCATTAAATCAAGTGAGAAATTCTTAGAAAGCCTTCAGTATTCATGGTTCGTGCTTGGTGGCATGCAGCAGCTTTGTATATTTCCATAAAGAGCCACATGAACTCTGGTGCCTTGGTCTAATCGTTATTTTGGGATATAGCAAAAAAACGCTTTATTCGGTTTTATTACGATTGGGATTGTATCGAGGAACAGATGCTTTCCTCCTCCACTGAATTACTTTCTTTCAATGCAGCTCTGGAGCGGTTCAAATGCTGATCAATTGGCTTGGGTGTGGAGGAAAGGCAGAAGGTGCAGTGACATGAAAAAGCTTCTAGAAATTTGACCCAAAAATGTTTCATGTTGACAGTGGGAAAAGCAAAACGCATGAGGAACATAGCATAGTTTTCTTTTCTTGGATGCAACTAATGATTTGGTTTTGATAGAACATTCATCCTAAGTTAAAGGTCCGGTTTGACAAAGGATGGTTTGTGCACGTCATTAGGATGAAAGAGACATATCCTTTCCTTCTCTAGCCGAAGCGATATGGCAAATAAGCTACTGACTGCAGGTTGAATTGTGACGCCTAGAGGAATTTAAGCGCCTTCGCAAATATCTTTAGTGCGTACTCGTATGTCGTGAGATCGTTCACAAATTCAAGAGTTTCCGATTTCTTTAGATATAAGTCAAAGGGGCAGGATGGAGGCCCGATTAAAAGTCAGTAAGGAAACATTCATATTTAGTTCATGAATGAAATGTTGGCTAAAATCAAACAAAATGTCATGATCTCAGGCAAGAGAGAAATCTCACTTAACGCTTAAGGAACCAAGATTAACCTTCCTAACTTGGCATTATATACATCCTAACCACCCCATGCTCCACTTTCTGACGTAGAACCACTGGTGAGAGTTTCTGAAGGCGCATTAGGAGAAGCATTGCAAATTTTCATCACGTTCCACTGGCCAACGAAATATGCTTTCGTCAGAAATATTACTGGTATTAAATTGGAATTAGACATTTTGAAATTTCTCTGAGATTCCTTTGGAGAAGAGAGATACTGATATATTATTATCGTGATGTGAAATTGGCAACGATATCGAGTTCTGGGAATTCCTGAATATCACTTTAAAAATGCGTAAAATCTATGAAGTTGTACCAATTTAGAATGAGCGAGCAGAAAAATTCCTACTCCGTGGAGCACACAATGCAAGATCGATGAGATGATAAATAGGTTTTTTGGTAATCCAAAATACAGTTAAACGAAAGGGCTAAATTTTCACCCCTAAATCAAAATCAACTATACCTTTACTATGTACTGGATTACTTTTGTTCCACAATACGTTTTTTTCAGTTATTTTCAATGGAACTGAAAAAGATGGTCTAGAAATGGATGAGAACACTACATTACATTCACGAGTCATATTAGTCTTCCTATTTAAATCCCGCCATGATTCCATTTCCGTTAGTTCGACCTGCTCATGCTCCATCAATTTACAGGGGTTGTCGTAATTGGAGGATTTAAGAAGGGACTCTCTTACCTGTTCTAATGCATGGGAGATATCCCCTCGGTCTCCATTGCTCGATCTAGGAGAATCACAATTAATCACATGCAGTGTGTAACTGGTAACTGGAATGGTAACAGAGCACTTCTTGGTGAAATGCTTTACCTCCACGACTACGATTGTGAACTGATGAACGAATAGCAATATTTTGCAATATTCGTTGAATGCAATCATAAGGAACTCGAAACTGGAGGAACCAGATAGTTTTCTCTTTTCATGTTTTAATGTTTTAAGGGATGAATTACATTTTATAAATCACATGACTGATCAAATGAACAATCATTTCAATTAAAAATTAAATTCTAATGCTGAAGTCCTGGTACCTGGGCATGAATCAGTTGAGATTTTCAACATCTACTCAATGTTGACAATGCTTTTGAATCTCCAGCATCAACATCCCATCGACTTTGCCAACCACTTATCAACATTGAGTCAATATTGTCGCGCAGACACGGCACAGACTGCCTTACTACACATGTGATGTTCCCATGTTAAGCGTACGTAAGTACTTCAGGTTACTTCATGCCAGAATGAAACGAGAAAGTCAATGAAATGACAGGGTGCCGCTGAAGATGCACAATTCCATGTGATCCATCAAATGTCGCAGCTGAGCATTTAATCAGCAAAAAAAAGAGGAACCTTTATTCCAATTTTCGAGATTAATATTCGATACCAGAGGCATCAGTGCAACGTGTCCAGATTCCCAATTATACAGGTCTATACAGGTCTTACAGGTCTATACCAAAGTGATATCGATTCTAATTTGGATCGTATCTGCATTAGTAAATGACCACTCGTTTGAATGTCTATTACCAATCCGATATGATATCTTTTCTGAATGATATGGTTTTACTCATGAAATTCTAGCGTGCCCGCTGAATATCTGGAAAGAGGCGATTAGAACATATTTTGGCATATTTTGAAGAACAATATCATTAATTCTATTCAGATGTTCTGCGTTTGTGGAGTGAAAGGTGCCCCGCGAATTCGCTCGTCCGGCAATTCCTCCCATTTCACCAGCGGGCATTGGATAGCAAGAGATAGAAACTCACCCTCCAGAGATGGCATGGGATGTTTCACTGGGAAGGTCGATCGAGATGGTAGGACGGAACGGGATGCTCAAAACACTATCCATCGAATCCCTGTGTCCTAAGGGTACATTCGTTAAGGAAATTAATATACACCAAAAAAAATAATAATTTAAATAAATATTCTTTTCAAAATCGCTGTCTTTGCGAATGCCTGGTGGTCGTCAGTAGCTGATTTTAGCACCTAAGGGAATCTGCCAATTTCATTAGAATAATTTCTACCCAAGGCAAAATAGGAGGAAAAATTCACCTTCGACTCTTTTCATGAATATGTTTATATGAATATATGGCAATATATTTTTTTAATATCCTTGGTTTTGGTTTTTTCTCACCTTTTTATTATGATTGCTCTGACAAGAGTCCCTCGGCCCCATGTCGTGTCAACACAGGAAACCTGCATCGGCAAACACTAAACACTCACTTGGGGCATGACTTCCTGGCGTTTCGTAGAGGCATACTTAGCGTCTATGTTAGTACATTATACTTGTCCTCCCCAACCGGGGATCTTGCCTACGAATCTCTCCTGGGAAGTTCAAGATTTGAACCCCTTCGTGATTTCTTCTGTGACTAATCAGGTGATGTTTCCGCTCTGGAAATACTAATCGAGTGAGATCCAGGGCCATTCTCTTCTATTACTTACGAATCTGCATCCACCGGACGAGAGAAAGTCGCACATTCCGCCATCGAGACTTTCGAATCATCTTCATCCCATCGGGTCCGGCCCCTAGGTACACCATCGGTGCTCGCTGCCTGGAGCCTCTCTGGGCTGCTCAAACTGTTTAATCCCTATACAATTTCCTTAAGAGAAAACTTACATAAAGTTTGGCTGACATAATGGATGAGATACCACAGATGGGACTATAAACGGACTTAATATTAGACGCAAGCATTGCAGGGAATGACAGTCAAACTAATTCTTGCTTCAACTGAGTGTCTTACAGGAAAAAGAAACGACGTAAGGTGGAAAACAGAACTCGGAAAGTTTTTACCAGCCCGATTGACTCTCCTAGATGAAGTCCCCCAGCTGCCTTTCATCGTCGTGCATCGTCATTCATGAATGAATACAATATCGAAATGAAACCGCAATTCATATCACGATTGGTATAGGTAATGATCCCATCATTAGTGACTGGATTTAGGCCTTTGCCTTCTATAAAGGCATTCCTCAACAGAAAAATCGATGCGACACAAAATACTGTTATCTGATGATGACGTAATGAGTTCGACAAGCCAAATTCACACAGCAATGAGTTCCATAACAGCCTGGCTGAGACGTCCAAAGAACGTATGAAAAATTATCACTTAGAGATTAGAGTAAGGTGCGTCATCTTTCCTTAGCCCCTCTCACCGAATCTATTTCAATCCCAGAGGCCGATCACACCCTGAACATTGGGTAATCCACAAAAGCCAGTGGAATCTATCTCCAAGCGGATTCACTTTTACCACCATGACGTTTCATGTCACGGATGAACACAAGTTCCAAGTGGTGAGGAGACTGAAACTATGTTCTAAAGATGTTGAAATCTGGATCGCTCTTGTTGGCATGTAGCATCTTCGCTTGCATTTCAGACTGCAAGAATACGAAATGCTGAATGAATTCCAGTGAAAACTAACTCATGTCGTCGGTTCTGATTCCTGTGAAATGATGAATCGAACACGAGTCATTCATCGAGATTCGATAAGGAAAAGCCATTTGATATGCTCCCCATGCAGCTATCTTTCCACCCTTGATTACCATTATTCCAACCATATTGGAGGCTGCATTCATGAACGATCTGCCCGTTCACACAGGCGATGAAGGAAATGAAGCAGGGGGAGGGTATCGCACATTTTCATACGCGATATCCAGGCTGATGGAGCAACCGCACATTTCAAGCCGAAGTGTCAATTCTCTGGTCCAAATGCTTATCTACGCGTGACGGCATTTCGAATTTTCGCCGGAACGTTATCTGGCATCGGAGTGGATGAACTGCGCAAGATCATTTCGCGATTTCTTCTCTTGGAGGAGCAAGGAATCCAAACTCGGAAAAGAGAGAGAATGCAGCACTTTTTCTCGAGAATAGTGATTCTTTGCGTTACGTTAGTAACAAAGGCGTTTGCTCACCGGAAAGCGCCGCTGCGATGTCCCGTCTCTCCATTTTGTCCAAAATCGAGAGCAGACGACCGTACGTCTTCTCTGGGTTCCTCGTGCCAAGCTCGGAGAAGATGCAATCCATTTGTTTGTGGTATTTCTTCGATCTGAGCTCACTTGCCTTCACCGGAAGAATCAGCTTCTTCTTGACGAGTTCATCGAGGAATCGGTCGATATCGATTACCACCTTCCACTTGATCAAGTACTTCATTGCTTCTATTTTCTCCTCCATGATCCTGTCAAATACGATGGGTGAGGCAGGAATGTGACATAAAAAATCCTAGGAAATATTATTATGCGATGCAGCTGATGGATAAAAAGTACTTCCACTTTGATTTTCGTCAAACCGTTCATTCAGGATTCAAATGAGTTTTTGCTGTTACTTTTGCTTTAATTGTGACCTATAAGTAGTGTGCCCCATCCGTCAACCGAAAACCCTTAAAAATTAGACTGTTTCGCTTTAAAACTTGATTTGGCATTTGCCTTCTCCTCCTTTCAAAAGTTCTGCTAAGAACAGAAAATGTCAGAAGATGCAGAAAAGTTACATCACTGACTTCTTGTAAATAATGTTGCTTTCTTGTTTTTGCAGTTCGGTTCTATTTTTTACTCGAAAGAATCGGTGCTATGTTTTGAATAGAAGTGAGCAAATCCACTTTCACTGGATTATCTCAGGTACGTGAGGTTTTACCTCTGTAAAGTCGAGTCTTCGGGCGTAATCTATGCCTGTCATCCGGATCGCGATGGAAAGGATTCATCTCGGTAATGCTTCACTTGCAGAGAATGATTCCTCAATCGGACAATCACAGATCCACGAATCTTTAAACATTTTCGGATTAACACTTACCTGACTTCCAATGGCATGGAAGACCGTGAATGGAGAAGGACCCGGCACGGAACAATCACACGAACGAGCACAGTTTAATCGGACAATTACCTTGCCAGCACCAACTCGCTTGGGGCTCCATGGATGTTGGCGAGCATGACTACAACCCAGGAGCTATGGCTACATCCATTTTCCAAGCGAGTCCATGCAGAATGAAGGACGTATGGCTATTAATAAAAAAAATACCCGATATACCCGAGGCCTCTATTGCCAGAGATAAGACTTTGTATCAACCTCCATTCCATATCGATGATTTGTCAAGAGACTTTCGGAGAAATCGGGTGATCCATTCTGGGCTTATAAATACCTATAATGGAACTACGACGGAAAGAAAATTTGGGTGGGATTCTAAAACATTCTGCATTGGGGAAGTCGGATGACACTAAGAAGCATCCATCAGTTGGACCACGAAACGCCTTTCTGCTGGTGCAACAGAAGAGGATTCCGATGCTCATTTAAACAACAGCATGGAAGACCAAGGTAACTTTGGCAACGGTATCGTCAATAATTACTTATTTAAAAAAAAAAACAAATGGGAAACGGTCAGTGCACCAAACCGGCGAAGATTTCCTCGAAGACACCGGAAAACGACCAGACTAGAGGGACACGAGCTTTCCAGCAAGGAATTTCCTCCCCGCCCCGGTCCCCCGTTTCTCACAGAAGGACCTTGTAGTGGTGGTGAAGGTGAAGGCGATGGTGAAGGATATCATCCACGATTTTCATCCTCATGACCTAAAAAAGAAAATCTTGAAAAACTGAAACGAGATCAAGGAACTCCCGCAGTGATCCACCTCCAGATCAGACGGTTGCGCATTCCAACTGAGTGCAAGTCATACGAAATCCACAGATCTGGCTTTCTACATCGTTAAACACATTTCTTCCATGCCCGTCCATATTGTCGTAACTGATTAAATTTCGGATGTCAGACCGACTCCGGATTAAACAAACTTATCGACGACTGCAGTCAACAGTGTCTGAAAACTGATTTCGTACCACCACTAACATCGCGCTTGGGAACTCCACGGACCCTCAACTGATGTGTCTGCGAAGATGCATCCATTGTTTCCATTCCAGCGGATATCTCCTTCCGCTTCCGACGACCACTTCTCATCGATCGGTTAGTCGCTTAGGCGCTGTCGCACGGCAAAGATAACGCTGCGTTACCCGTATAAATGGATTGACGAGTCATTGAGCACAGGATCGTTGCTAAGCACCTAACTGGGAAGTCATACATTAATTTCTCAAGTATCGGGGAATCAAGCCCAGTTGGCACTTCCACGTGGTGTCAACGTTGAGAAAAGGTCGAAACGTTGAAACTTCGTTGAGTTAAGAATCCGACGAAGAAAGTCATGAATGAAATGCTGACTTTTCGTAATTAACAGCATTTGCAGCATATTGCGACCATTTGTGGATTAGCGAAGTCGTTTAGTGACTATTAAACGGGAATTCGTTTGTCATCATGTATGATTTTCCTGGGAGGAAATGAAACCGGTTTATTCCGATTAAAAATTATCAACTCAAAAGGAATAAAGAAACCATTCTTAATTACACCGTATTCTGGCTCACTCGTATTTTCCTATCCTCAACCTATATATATATATACCGTCGTACACTCAAAGTACGTGGTACGCAGCAGCTACGCCGCGACGAAAACGGCTCCGACCAAGTCTGGAGGTTTCCTCCATAGAAACGTATGGGCATCCAACGTACGTACCGTGCACCGCACCGTGTAGATTGGTGTACTCTGAGGATAAGAACGTAAGAGCCGACATGAATGAGATATATTACATAGATCGTTCCCATGATCGTTCCCGACTGATAATAGCCGAACGAATCTATCCTCCTGCGTTGCGTCTGAGGTGACTGCAGTCACACCGCCGGATTATTGGGAAGCACACCGTGACGATATCATCTTCCTTTCTTTTCAATCTGGAACAAAAAATGTTTCTAGCATCCGCTGAGCATGAACTTTTTCTTTTACATCATCATTCACTTCTCCTTCCCGAACTCCATTCATCGGAAGGAATCCCATTCACCGCGGGTCCCATGCTCACCGGCAGTTTCCTGCATCCCGTGACGAGGTCGAGGAAGATTACCTTTGGTTCTCGAGCTCGTTTTCATTTCTCTTGCATCTCATGAACCTACTTTGATACTTGTTTGTCGAAACTCCAGAGAGATGGGACCCCCGTATAGCGGCGCCGTAGGGCAAGGTGCTTGTCAGCATAGAACATTCCTCCCCATTCGTTGAAGGGTGCATGAATGCGATGAAATCACGCTGTGCATTTTCATCGTAAGTGTCATCCGGCACCACCAGCCATATCCAAGGTGCCACAGAACTACATAACATGTGCACAGCAGTTCTAAGGCCACATTTGTATTAACAACAGTATCAAGCAATGGCCGGTACCACTTTTCGCCATGTCTACTTAAACGTAGACGTTTGATCTCGTGAGAAAGTATAGTTTCTCTCCCGAGGATAAATCTGATCCTCAACGCCATTTGACGTGAAATCCCACACACCTTTTATGCACTTTCTCGAACCAGAAGCAACCAGCTAGCGGTCGTGGCCGAGTGGTCAAGGCGTCTGACTGTAAATCAGATTCCCTCTGGGATCGCGGGTTCGAATCCCGCCGACTGCGGAACTTTTGCATCCAAGTCAAGGGCACTGGTGTAAATTCAAAGATGAAAACCTTGTCCAAGTTCTCGAAGAGGAGAATTCAGATGCAAGTGACTGTCCTCCTCAAAGCAAGGAAAGGTGCTACATGAAGAGTGAGTGTTACCCCGATCAGATCCCATCGGTAGTTGGTATCTCGGCACTTGGTACCGCGGCCATTGCTAGATTCTGTTGTAAGTGCAAAAGTGGCCTCAGAACAGCTGTGCGCACGTTACGTAGTTCCGTGGTACCTCGGAAATGGCTGGTGGTGCTGGATAGCACTGACGATGAAAATGCACAGCATGATTTCATCGCATTCATGCACCCTTCAAGGAATGGGGACAGTTGCCGTATACTGACGAGCACCTTGCCCTTCGGCGCCGCTATACGGGGGTCCCATCTCTCTGGAGTTTCGAATAATGCGACTGCCTAGCAGTTAGGCGCTAGACAACGACCCTACAGAGATGAGGCTTGTGGGAGTAAAAAAAAACGAAAATGGCGCCATCAACCGCGCTGTTCTTTTCTCAAATTCCTCCGGCCTTTTCGCAAGGTTCTCCGAAATTCTTCATCTGATGATCTTCAAATTTTGCTCGATTTTCTGTTCATCTTTAGGAATTTTCCTTCCACATTCATTCTGTAAAAACTGTCTAGGTAACCGTTTCGGTCGATTAGTATAGCACCATTGCGGCTATTGAAATTGGGATAATTGGTATGCTTTCTCCATTGTTATTTATCCCACACATTTGAAATTCGAATCAATTTCATAGTTTGCTTGTATGAGCTCGTGCACCAGATTTCATGATGATTTCTCATCTTCTTGGTCGTGCTTTCTTTGGAGACCAGTATTCAGGTATATAACAATCCCAGTGGTACAGACGCCAGTTGAATGGCAGATCTGTGCCTCGACTTGTAATCTCTAGTTCATTTTGCGACAGCACCGTATTCACTGCACACACCTTTGGTATTTTTTTTTATTATGTAATCCATTGGGAAGAGGAACATTGAACGAGATTCTCCTTTCTCATTGGTTTCTATTCCCCTCATATCTTTGCGATTAAAAAAAATCCCATGAACAGACATATTATTCGTCCTTTTCCGCCGACTCCCGACATGCATTTTATCGGACATCCATTTTATCTTCCTCTCCTCCAACTCCTCGTATCAGACTCAGACCAGCTCTATCGGTGAAAAGCGAACACTCCCCGTCACCCACGTAGAAATGCCTTGAATTCCTCAGTCGTGAGTCTTCATAAGTACATGTTGGTTTACTCCCTGTTCGTCTTGGTCTGTTTCTTAAAAACCCGTTTCGTCAACGGACATGTGAGTCCCCCTTTCCCAGTAAGTGCAGTGCACTGCATGCGCAGTCTTCCAAGTCTCGGAATCATTTCCAAGAGGAAAAGCGGAACTGTAGTATACAATGTAATTGTTTGCATGTCATTATATTCATGTATTGATAATTTTGTATTGATTATTTCAATTTTGTATGACATAATCTCTCTTGAAGAAATTGCATTTTAAAAAATGCATGCAAGCAACTGAAGATATTGAACATAATATTTAAACTGGAAAGGAAAGCGTGAGGTCTATGAACTTATCCACATAAGTGTCAGTGCAGAGGAATAAGTACACAAATGAAAATTCATGATCATTTCCAGTTCACTGCAAAAGCCAAGAGCTTCAATGAACGAGTGTAAATGAAACGTGGCTCCGGACTTCGAGCTTGCATTTCATACCATGCCTTGTACATGTGATCAATTCCTAATTTTAAATTTTAAGTTTCTTTCTTAGAAATTATAGGTCCTAATGTCGGAGGAATCCCTGCCCGAGAGCCGGAGTCAAGACCTTAATGAGATGGATGGCGGGGAGATTCACCTACGCGACGAAGATCCTCACCCCTCCCACGATCGGGTACCCATGGAAGGGAGCGGACGGAGAAGACAACACGAGAATGATGAAGAGCACGATGATGATGATGATGACTGGGTCCCGATCATCGGATACACCATCCAAGAAGTCGGCAGTCGTTTCATTAAGAGGTTTAATGCACACCAGAGAGAGCTTCGCGCTCGCTTCGAGGAAAGCGAGTTCTCAGGATCGCCTCTTTCATCCATCATGGCATCCCTCAACATCTCCATCGATGAGATGCTGAGAAAGGTGACTGAGGGTGCCAAACCTAGAGACTTCATAAGGGCCATCATCAAGTCAGACGGAATGGATCATGCCATATCTACCAAAGTCACCAGAGTTGAGGACATGAGTCCTGAATTGATCCTGACAACGGTTACAGAACATCTCCAGTCCAACAAAGAACTTGAGTTGAATGGGTCTTTCACTCTGGATTTCCTGCTTGTATCTTACTGTCAGGGTGGTACGGGTTTGCGGATAATCAATCCCGAAATAGACAAAAAAGTCAAGAGATCGATCATCCAAATAAAAAATGAAGATGATCTTTGCATAGCCAGGGCGATCGTTGTGGCCCTTGCAAAAATCAATGTTGACCCCAAGTGGAAGTCCATCTGTGACTCACGACGCCCCATGCAGGGAGAGCATGCTCGAAAACTTCATGAAGAGGCAGGCGTACCATTTGGGAAATGCGGAGTCGAGGAGGCTCGACAGTTTGAAGATCATCTAGGAATCCAAATAAATATTGTCAGCTTGGAAGACGGTAATAAGATAGTTTACCGCGGACCATATAGAGAGAAAAAGATCTATCTCTGGAGACGCCAGGTACAGGATGATGGGCATCATTATGATGTCATCTCCTCCATGCCTGGATTTTTGGGAAGAACATTTTACTGCCACTATTGCGATAAAGGATACGCAAAGAATTGGAAGCATCAGTGTGAATACCACTGTAGTACATGTGGGAGAGATAACTGCTTGAAGGAATCCAAAACTTTCCATTGCCCACGGTGTAATAAAATTTGTCGAAGTACCGCTTGCGAGAAGGAGCATGTATCCACCTGCGAGAGGAGCTGGTATTGTCTCACATGTCAACGAATCTTTGAGACAAATCAGTCCCCTCGAGACAAACATCGGTGTGGCGAACATTTCTGCAAGGGATGTAAAACATCGGTTGATTCCAATCATCGGTGCTATCTTGCACGGGAGAAAATGAAGCCTTCTTCTGACAAATACATATTTTTCGACTTTGAAGCCGATCAGTCGAAAGGTGGACTGCATGTGGCCAACTATTGCATTGCACAATATGCCAATGGGGAAGAAGAAATCTTTTCCGATTATGACACCGAAGATAAATTCGGAGGATGGCTCTTCCAAAGAAAACACAAGGGTTATACAGCTATTGCTCACAACATGAAATCGTATGACGGATACTTTCTACTATCCTACCTTCTCAGGAATGGGGTGACCCCAAAAGTCATAATGAACGGAGGCAAAATCATGTACCTGGAGACACTAAATCCCAAAATCAGAGTAATCGACTCCTTCAATTTCCTCCCCATGGCATTGTCGAAGCTCCCGTCTACTTTCGACCTGGAAACCATTTCGAAGGGATATTTTCCTCACTTCTGGAACGATCGCGACCACCAAAATTACGTAGGCCCTTTTCCTCCTCCCGAAGCCTATGGATGCAACTCCATGTCGTCACATGAAAGAGCGACATTTTTGCAGTGGCATCGAACAAAGGAAGAAGAGGGTTACACCTTCAACTTTCAGGAAGAGATGAAAAAGTATTGCCGCTCCGATGTCGACATCTTGAGGAGGGCATGTCTGCGGTTCCGAGAACTCTTGCGTCAGGTTGGAGGTTGCGATCCGTTCCAGTACATCACCATTGCATCTATCTGCCATGCCATCTTCCGGCATAAGTTCATCGAGCCTAAGACCATCGCCATGGTCCCATCTCATGGATATAATGAGGGATCATTTTCAAAGGCAAGCATCGAATGGCTCGACTTCATGGCCCACGACCAGCGGATCAATATCAGGCACGCAATGAACCATCCAGAAGGTGAAATGAAAATCGGATCCTTCAGAGTGGATGGCTTCCAAGAGGAAATTCGAACCGTCTTCGAATTTCACGGATGCTTCTTTCACGGATGTCCTCGGTGCAACGGCCCCAAAGACGTTCATCCGCTCCTGAAGTTTCCGATGAACGTTTTACATAAGAAAACAGAGGAAAGACGAAAGGAGTTAGAAAACTTGGGTTACCAAGTCATCAACATCTGGGAGTGCGAGTGGAAGGAGAGGAAGAAGAAAGACGATGTGAAACAGTTCCTGGAGGGACACGAAGTGGTCTCCCGACTCGACTGTCGCGAAGCCTTTTATGGGGGAAGAACGAACGCCGCTATCCTCAAGTATGACGTCGAGGGAAGTGAAAGAATCAAATATATTGACTTCACCTCGCTGTACCCTTACACCAACAAATACTGTGAATACCCGGTGGGCCACCCTGTTATCATAACTCGGGACTTTGAGGATGTCGATGCCTACTTTGGCTTCATAAAATGCCTCATTCTGCCTCCTCGAGGACTCTATCACCCGGTATTACCATACCGGAGCAACAAGAAACTGTTGTTTCCTCTCTGCCGGACCTGCGCTGATAACAGGCAGCAGGAGCCTTGTCAGCATTCCGACGATGAAAGAGCCATACGAGGAGTGTGGGTGACGGAAGAAGTGAAGAAGGCTGTGGAGATGGGCTACGAAATGAAGAAAATCGATGAAGTCTACCATTTCCCTAATAAGTCCAAGGATCTTTTCAAAAATTATATTGACACATTTTTGAAACTGAAGCAAGAGGCAAGCGGCTGGCCGGCCGAATGCTCCACAGAAGACGAAAAAGATGAATACATCAGACGTTACGAGCAGCATGAGGGAATCAAACTAGAAAAGGACAAAATAGCTAAGAATCAGGGATTGCGAGCTGTCACAAAATTGGCTCTAAACTCGTTTTGGGGGAGGTTCGGAATGCGTGAAAATTTCAACCAAACCCAATATGTGTCTAGCATTCCAGCCATGAACCGCTTCATTGCCGACCCAAAGAAAAACATCAAAGGAATGAATGTCATCAATGATACTGTCATGGAAATCACTTGGGCCGACAAAGACGAGCACTTGTCTCAGCGAACTGACACGAATATATTCATTGCGGCCTTCACTACTTGCCATGCCCGATTGAAGTTATACTCCACCCTTCATCAATTGGGCAGGGCCGTCTTATACTATGACACAGATTCCGTCATTTACGTCAGCGACGGAAAAAACGATCCGCCTCTGGGGGATTTTCTGGGTGAATTCAAAGACGAGTTAGAGGGTGACCACATCGTCAAATTCATATCAGGAGGGCCAAAAAATTACGCCTACAGGACTTCAGACGGGAAAGAGTGCCTGAAGGTCCGGGGTTTCACCCTCAACTACGCGGCCTCCCAAAAAATTACATTCGACACCATGCACCGCCTGGTATCAACCTTCCGGCCGGCAAAGAAGGGAGCCAAGAGGAAAAAGATCCAGGAGGAAGATCATGTTATTGTCATCAACCCACACAAAATCACCCGTGACAAAAAAGGAAAGAGGCTTATCACCAAGGAGGAGAGGAAGAAGTATCAGGTCGTATATGACAAGAGGGTCGTTCAACCTGATTTCTCCACCTTGCCATACGGCTTCTGATTTGCAGACCACCCCTATGTAATCCACCATGTCTCATCATCGGATTACGTCGGAAAATTTCGCTTCTATGAATTGGACAGTAAAATTTATGAGATAACTATTTTTTTACTTTTCCTTTCTTCAACCTCAACCCCTCAACTTCAAGGGAGGGAAGAATTGGTGCGATCCATTCCACGTTCACAAAAGGAAAGCGATGGACGATCCAACCCTCAATGAGTCATCGAGAGATTTTTCAATTCGAATGGACGACAGCCTCATCGACTCTGCTATTTTAGTTCTTTGTAGGTGATGGTCTCTGTGTTTCTAATATCTTCTGCAGTTGTTAAAATATCTTACTTATAAAATCACCTACCAAACTTGTTCACAATTCAGGCGAATGTTCTTAATGAGACTCCTTGATTTTCCGAACTTCGTGCTCAAAATGTCCTGTTCATTTTAATTGAAAGAATTAAATTCCTTCAACTGAAGAGCACTGGCTTTCGATGAGTAGCTAATCTTCATGATCTCCCAAAATCTTGACAGGTGACTCCATGGCGCTATGGTAGCACATCGCATTTCAGATCAAAAGGTTGCGTTTTCGAGTCACGTCAGAGTCGGGAAATTTGTTTTTTCTGTCTTTCACAGTCCATGAAACAGGCTTCATACACACTCCATCTTGAGAGAATTCTCCATGGTAATCGATTTCAACACTCCATCCCAGTACTCTACCCACCGTCTTTGACATATTCTAAAACGACTTCCCCTGAACTTATAAAAGATTCTGCATCCCTGGAATGACTTGAAAGGAGCAATTTGAGCAATTCCTTTGCAAGTCTGCTCACGATATGGGTGGTTTTCCCGCGATGAGGGAGATGTCGCAGAATGCTCATTTCTCGCACGCCCCCCAACGAGAGACCTATAGCAGACGACAAGGCTATATCCAATGAGGACGCGAAGATTCCCCAAGTATGCGCGCGTGAAACTTCCACCTCCGACAGGCTACTTCCGTTCCTTAAGATACGACCTGTTTCGCAGGAAAATTGAGATCGCTTTGAAACCAGGCATGTATTTTCCTCTAAGGGATAGAGAAGTGCCCTCATAGGACAGTGTTTAAGGAGAACGTGACTTCAAAATAAACTTAACAAACACTTATTTCATCCGGTCCTTGTAGAAGAAAGGTGGTGCGCGAAAACCCCCTACAGAAAAATCCTTTTTTGCTATTTTAGCGACCATGCGCGAAAACCAAATGTCCATATATGGGAATTTCGCGCTGTTGAAGAATACTATATTCAATTCTTGCTACAGCACAATAAATATATCATTATTTGCAAATAGAAGACAAAATGAACAAAATTTCCGCATTTTTTTGTTATATATCTGAAAAATATTAGTTTTCTTT